GGATACTGCATTGGACATATGTATTGGGACATGCTAAATATTTATCTGGCATAATATAATATTTTGGTTGTGTGGGTATTGGAATGTACAGCATGCACCTACCATTTTAAAATGATAAAATGTCACAAAATTCGGTAATAACACCCTACTTTTTCATAGTAGTAATACTCAAGTAAGACTAACGTTACTAAAGAGGAAAGTGATTCTGTTTAAAATGGGAGGTTATGTTTGTTATGTAGTGCAAATAAAATAAAGAACACTTTTAGCGGTGTTCAAATAATATATTGGGCATTCTGCATAATGAGTTGAAGTACATTGTGATGCCATTACCTTTTTTACTTTACTTCGGTAAAACATGTAAATATGTGTCTTGTAACGGATTTTTGGAGTGAAAGTAGAAGTACCAGAGTGTAAGAATACTCTGTTGCAAGTGAAAGTCCTGCATTCAAAAGGTTACTCAAGTAAAAGTACAAAAGTATTAGCATCTAAATATATGCTTAAAGAACCAAAAGTAAAAGTAGTCATTGTGCAGATTTAGCACAATACTTGAGTAAATATACTTAGTTACTTCACACCTCTGCCTAAGTACCAAGTCTGAATTCTGTCCAGCACTGATGCCATTCGAAAAACAACCAGTAGATGGAGCTAGTGACAAAGACTTGAGTTTGCTGTTAGCCTGCAGACACATCACAAGCAGTGCACGCGCATCACTGCGGGTTATGAAACATAATGTCTATTATATCTTTCCACGAGGCCCATGTCTATAATGAATTATAAACATATACTATGCATTATATTATGCTGTTCAATCACTTTATAACCATACAGGAAACAATTCGTTTCTTGAAAAAGCATTACATTATTGAAATGTAAATGTCCATTGTAATGTTTTTGATAATCAAAATTAAATTAATAATCCATTAAAGTTAAATGAGTGTACTCAAGTTCTGTTGTTAAATAAATAAATTAGTTTTGCAACATGTTGGGAGTTGTTCATGCATAGATTTATTTTATTATCATTTACCAAATTACTTACTTAAAGGGGACCTATCATGCAAAATGCACTTTGTGATGTCTTTTATACATACATATGTGTCCCCGGTGCGTCGGGGAACTCACGCAGCGTCAGAAAATAAAACCCTCTCTCTTTTCCTCCGTACCCAAATCTTTTTAAAACGGGGGTGTACAACGAGCGGATACAGATTTGCTGCCGATCTGACGTCAAATCNGTCCCTTTTTCAAGGGAGACCTGTCCAACATGGCAACAAGTAGGTTACAACATGAACATAAAACTACAGATAACACAAAAGAACATCGTATTTACAGGGCTACATGTACTTACCTAGAGACATTGACAAGTACCAACAGTATATTTATATCTCGCCCTGTCAATAAGCCTCACCTTCTTGTCAAAAACTGTATTGTTTTTGAAGTGGTGGAGAGACAATGCACAGTTTGACCCACTGCTGTCACCAATGGCCAAAGCATATCTCTTTGTCCCAGCAACATCAGTACCAAGCAAGAGAGTTTTTTCCACAGCAGGGGATATTGTCCAAACATCCCAGCTTCTACCTGGAAATGTGGACATGCTCATATTCCTAAAAGATAACCTTGATGATGTTGAGTGAGTGAGTTAGTGAGTTAGAGTTGAGTTAATTAAAAAACTAAAGTGAAACTTGATTTATTCTATTGCAGGGTCTGATTATTATATTGTTGACACTTTAAAATACTACTATCCTACTAAAATACTGCACAAATCAGATGTATTATTTAATAAATAAAAAAAAAAAATTCACATTCACATGTTTTTCCTTTATTTTTCAATATCGCGATAAATATCGTACCGTGGACTTTTTATCGCGGTATTATCGTACCGTGAGTTTTTGGTATCGTTACATCCCTAATTAACTGTGTTGCATTATGGGTAATGTAGGCAATCGGGGGACCCCTTTATGTTATGAATCACTTTAACTAACCAGTGCTACAAGACGACTACAAAGCATCATTTAGTATGTTTATAATATTATGTTTTTAGATATTAGTGTTGCGTGCGGAAAGTGAAACCAAATGCTAAACTCTTCAAATAAAACGCTATATCTGCATTTGAAGCACCAAACTAAAAAGAATCCACCATAAATCCATCAGACTGATTTGAAAGTGTCAGGGTGGCTTGTTAAAGTGTGTTTCATGACTTGGCACTGCACATGCACTAATAAATATGTTGGCTCCTAGAGTTCTGTAAATAATATAGGGTGTTTATGGTCCTACTGAATGTGCAGGCATGCAGGTCACAGAGCGCATCCCAGAAACTTCTCCAGATATTAAAAGTGGAGGACAGTCAACTATTTTTAGTTTTATAATGTTGGATTTTAATGAAAGAGTATCATGTTCCACCATCTGGCTTAGCTTATAAACCTGTTGTGTAGCAGGACTCACGCTCAGGAAATCCTAAAGAAATTAAAACCTCTCAAATATAATTGTTGGCAGAGGGGGAATGTAACTAAGTCTGTTTAGTCAAGTACTGCCCTGAGGTTAGATAAGGTTAGGTACGGCTAGGTAAGAGGCCTTATTATGCTTTTTGGGGATTTCCCTTTCCTGTGGGCTGTTAAGGTTTAGTGCATGTAAATGGTCTGCAAAGGCCAAAATCCCTCCGAGCGTTTCTCTCCCAAAAACACTTGCGCTTCTATTGTCTCTAGACCTCCAACACATTGTATGTGATAGGAGGCAGGACATTTCTCAGCGGTTGACCAATCACAACAGAGCAAACCAGCTAACCAATCAGAGCGGACTGTGCTCTGGTTTCAGACAGAGGGTGAAAATGAGTGCTGCAGCACAGGCAGTATGAGAGGCGTGTGGCCCATTGGACTAGTGCGTTGGTGACCCCACTGCAGTCAGCATGTCGTTGTGTCCCTGGGCAAGACACTTGCTCCTGTGGGGATTGTCCACAGTATTGAGTATGGAAGTCGCTTTGGATAAAAGCGTCTAACAAGTAACATGTAATGAGAGTAGGGTCATTTTTAACTATATTTTACTCTGAAACTTTCCAATTAAATAACTTACATTAAGACAATATTTTTTTGTATAACATGTTTCAGAGAAGCTATGTTTAAATTTGCAAATGTGATCATTTAGATAAAACCGGTTTAAGTTTCAATTTTATGACATAATACGTTCGGATATGTCTTTGTATCACTCCAAAAAACGTAAACAGCCGTAAACTAAAAAAATGACATGTTTTTAAGAATAAAATGTAATATAAATGTTACTATAAACGTTGTTGACCTAGGTGAATAGAGTAAAAACCCACACATTCTTTATTTTTGTATTCCACATTTTGTGAAATAGTATGCTTGATATGCAGATGAGGCATTATGTTATGCTTTTCTCTTTTCTTTACTTTTATTGTCATTACGTATTACAGGTACAAGTAACGAAAGGGTTTCTCTGCATTTGACCCATCCTAGTGTTAGGAGCAGTGGGCTGCCGTTATGTACGGAGCCCCGGGAGCAGTGTAGGGTGCCTTGCTCAGGGACACCTCGGTAGCACTTGGTCTTGCCGGGACTTGAACTGGTGACCTTCCAAAAAATTGATTCTAATAATCGGGATTACGTAAAAAAAAAATCCAGTTTTTAATAAATAATCTTTAAAGATATGAGGTGAATTCAAAGAAATGAGGTGAAAAGTTCTCTGCTCCTCAGTCTAACATTTTTCTCCTTTTACATTTCCCAGGTGAGCCATGAGTGACTTCTTCTATCTTTCATCACTTTATTGACATGGACTGAATATTATGAAAGGCTTTTAACGTTGTAACATTGACATTTACTTATATATTTAACAACAGTATGTCTATAAAAGTGGTTTAAACAGGGTTGTGATGGATTTTCATGAAGTTTTCAGTTAATAGTCGTCTTTATGACATTCTTTGTTCATATAAAAGTCGTCATAGTAAAGTGTGTGAATGCATTTGAAGCGGTGCCGTTTTCATAATAGAAAGTTTGGATGTAAATATTGTCCCATGTTATAGAGGTTTCATCTGTGTTGTTTTTCTGAAAAATATATAATTGTAATATATATATTGTTAGAATAAATGGAAGGATGGATATTCTAAGTGAAGAGCTCTAGATAGTTTTTATTAAATATCTAAAATTGTAGAATTACACACTTAATGTGCATGTGGTCCTTGAATTTGAAGACATTTACAATTTTTTAATTAACTTTTTTTGTTCCAGACGCAATTTTGGTCCATTGAAAAGTATTTAGAACCCTTATTATTATAAAAATATATTCTGATCTGCACTCAGTGTGTACCAGATTATATTTCAGTGGTGTTGTGTGGCTGTTTTGACAGTGACCTAGATTTGAAGTCTTCAGTATGACAACAAAGAAAATAAAAAGTTAGTATATTACAGCCATGTATTCATATCATCATCATATCATCAGAATACGGAAGAGGATTAGGGCCACATGTTTCAACCATTTTGAAATATGACAAAAAGTTTACATTTTCTTTGAGTTCTGAGATTTAAGTCAGAGTTCTGACCTTGATCCCAGAATTCTCACGTTTTACTCAGAATTCAATTTGTTTTTAAGCTTTTTGTGAGAAAAAAAAATGTCATGTTGTCCTAATCCTCTCCCATAGGATCGATTAAATACGAAATATCTTTCATCGTTTATACATTGTATAGAAATCGTTTTTTAATGTTTTGATGAAAAGTTTGAATGAAGAGAATGATGTCTTGCAGCAAAGGGCTTGTAATGTAAATACATTGGGCCAAAAATCAGGTAATTTAGAAGAGAAATAGATCAGAAAATTACTTGATAACCTTGATTGATAATCAGGGAATGCTAGTTTTATTATAGAGTGGGTATAATATTTCAACTTAGCCGAGAATGATAGTTTTCATATAAAATGTATTCCATATTCCATTTGCCTTGTTTCCACCTCCGCCATGTTGTGTTTGGGATGTGAGATAAAAAAAAACTACTGTAGTGAAATATGACCTGTTTCAATAAAACATGCTTTATTGATGCAAGGTAAAAATATCTCAACTTGTCCTTTTTTGTCAATCCTAACAACGATCAGCAGCAATTTCAAAACTCTCCTTTACTCGAGTCACAACGTTAATACTCTTGTTGCATACAGTAACAAAGTAGGCAGGTTATGTTTTTTTTCATGTCGAATCGTCTTTTTTTTGTGTAAATCTTAAATCAATGTAAATACTCACACTGACGCAGCCACACTCAAATCCACACACACTCGCTCCAGACTGAGGGAAAGTAAATCAGGACAGATCCAACATGTCCGACACAAGTTTCCATCTGAAACTGTATTTATAGCTCGATAAGGCTAAAAGAATCAAACTTATTTATGTCTTACATGAAAAAGTTTCAAATAAATCTCCTCGCTAAACATATTGGATTGCATTGTTGATGGGCCGCACACTGAGGAGCTGTATTCCAAAAACTTGAAAAAAATAATATAACATTAGGTAAAATAACCTTAAAAACGAATTAAAATGATTGCCTAAAATCCAGATATTTGCACTTTATATACAAAAATAATATCACCATTTTGGGAGTGGGGAGCTTTCGTAGGTTTTCCAGGACTTTCCAAAAATCTGCTTTTTTCAAGTATGATGCTCAAGACAACATATCAAAGGGTTAATACACATTAATAATTGGACGCCAGTAATATAAGAATTGACTAAATAAACCTTATCAGTCATGTAACATGTAGTGGCTATGGATTCCATTTCGTCACCATTTAAAGGCAAACACTGTAGTATATTTTTTGAGAAAGATTCTAAACGAAAACTATGACTGTGTGTTAAGGCCACTATAAGTGAATAAATAAATAATAAAATAGTACAGAGCTGGGGGGAGGGGTTATATTCAGAGATAAAACTCTGTCATTTTAGATCAAAAAACGGATATTAATAAAAAAAAAAAAAGATTTATGAAAAAAAGCACTTGAGTATTCTCTGAGATTATTGAGTCATACAGTTTTTTTTGTCAACAACGCTTCATTTTGCAACGTTGGACCAACATTATCACACCACATACATACAGGAAGTGCAAAGTATTTAAAGCACATTTAAAAACTTGTTATGTAGTGAAATGTGCCACAACATTTTAAAGAAATTACCAAGAATCCCTAAAGTTAACGATTGTCTTTCACTACATACAAATTTGGCCTTTTAGGCAGAAGAAAAAAGGAAGTTATTGGGGTTCAAGCAACAGTCTTCAAGGACTTATTTGAAATACTATTAGATGCGATACTGAAATGAAAATGATGGTTGGTTTGTAGAATGGCACTGAACAACTGCTCACAAAATCTACAGCACAATAAAATGTCGCTGCTGTCACATCACGACAACAGCAACACACTAGCTGCACTGCAAAATACACCTACACAAGTCATTCAGCCTCATACTCAGTCTTTATCACGGAAAAAGGAAGGAATCTTTGGATTAGCGTACTTTCAATACAGAAGTATCAAACCCCTGCTGGAAGATTGCCTTCACTTTTTTATGCGACATACTGTAAGAATACGGGATTAAATGAGAGGCGTTTTTTGCAGTGTGGTCCTTGTAGTTGGAAGCAGCGTGGAGCCGGTGGCCCCCCAGCCTCCGTGGCCCCTGACGACAGCTGCTGGTGATAATATTTATCCTACTGTCCTGCCTCTGTTAACTGGAAGCACTCTGCTGCTGGAGGACTTCGTAGACGTCTTCCACTTTGCTAAGTCTCTCAAAGAAGGGGATCAGATCGAGGAGCTCGGTGTCTGACATGTCGTCAAACCAGGACACGACGGGAACCTGGAGGATGGAAAAGGTAGGGTATTGAGGAATTAAAACACCTTTTTAAATGTCACTTATTCCAAAAGTATAGTATTTAAGTTAATCGTATATTATTGGTGTAGTTAAGTCATCATTAACTCACAAAATTATCATTTGAATATCAGTTACTCACCGAAGGTGTTAAGTAATTATTTGAGCTATGTGCTATCTTTTAGTATATGTATATATTAATAGTGGTGTCAATTGTTTAAAAAATGTAATCACAATAATAATAATCTGTGATTAATCACAAGTTTAAAATACTAGTATGTCTTGTATAATGGGGGAGTTATAACATATACGTATGAAGAAATGCATGACAAACTGGTGAGAGAAATCAGACTTGATTTCTGAATCATTGGCATGAAGTTTGATTGAGAAAACGATTTCCGACACTTCGCTAAAGCATCAACAAAGCCACTGTCACTGAGAGCCGCTGTGATCACCCTCTGTATAATGTGTGCTAAACGGAGAATAATATATATATATTTCCTTTTTTTCAGAGCATATTATATCAACCGCTTTCATGCTGCTAGCACTATCTGTTCCTAGAGTGGTGTCGTGTGAGGCCTCACACGGGGCACCAACCTGCCACGGTTCTCTGTCTGCTAGTCTAATTATTAACAATGATTAATGATAATAAATGTAAATTAAACTATAAATATTCAAAAAATCATATAGTAGGTGCAAAAAGCTCAAACAGTTGTGTGAGCATTTGTAAATGGTTGTTGTAATATATTTTTGATTTTGTTAAAAAAGCAGTCCCCATTTTCTTAAATTGATCAACATTTCTTGTGTAAAACTTTCTTAAAGAATTGAGTGAACTTCTGATGAGTAATTGATATACAAATGGTAATTTTCCCCAAAAGATTTTAACAAATAGGTATAGCGTAATATAGAGAAATAAATAGAAATAGCATACTGCGTTGTCGGGATGGAAGACGTAGGAGGCGGGGGAGTTATCGATGATGATGACCTTGTTGAGGTCTCTCCCTATACGGCTCAGGTCCTTCACGTAGTTCCCTTTGTGGAACACACAGGACTCCCGGAACAGACGGTACCTGAACGCCCCCCACTTATCCAGCAAGTCCGACACAGGGTCCGCGTACTGCAGCAGCAGGACAGAATCAGGGGTGAGACATGGTGCTATGCATTTCTATAGCTATCAAGCAACTATATATGGGTATGGGTATATATTGGTCATTTAAAAACACAAGTTAGAATAAAAGGAAGTCCAAACTTATTGCTGTTTACGATATTATCCTCACAATCTTAAAAGATATCCTTCAATTCATTAAAAGGCACTGACCAATACTGGAATCATTTCATTGCATCACAAATAAGAGAAACATATTTTTTGTGAAAGCAAATTATCTTAAATAAGGATATCATAACAATATATTAAAATGGTTAATGTGAGGGAATAATTCTGTCTTACTCCTAAGATATTTAACCTTTTCGCCTGTTGACGTTTATAACCAACACTGACTCGTTGTCTCCTTTAAAGAATGTGCTGCTGCAATCATTCTCAGTTTTATGACCGGTCAACTCTCGGTCACAGAGCCTAAGAGTCAGGCAAGTGATTCAGTGTCTCCAGATGTTGGGGATATCTCCAGTGTTCCCAGCTGTTGATTAACTCTCTGTAAACTAGTTAAAAGGTCTATCGAGAGAGAGGCTGGTCAGAATTGATGTGGCAACCCACCCGTGCAGTCAGAACCTCTGGCTGCTGTGACTTGTGATGTGAAATTCTCCGGCCGATACTTGCAATAAACCATCAGTGTTTGACATCAAAGCTCCAACTCTCCTCGTGTCTCTCTGAGTCCTGACTCTCCATTGCTGCAGAAGTTTCCCTTACAGTTAAGGTCCCCTTGCATATATAAAGGAGAACTAAATGAATAAAACATAGAATCATTGTGTTTCTTTTCTTTAATTATGCTGAATCATTCCCGTCCCTCCACAACTTCAAGTCACTTCAAGCCACTCCTTAGTGGTTTTCACGATTATCAAGGAACTTGTGAGTGATTTCTATTCGCAGTCTGCGATTAAATGATTTACTCTCCAGTCCCTAGCTGTCCCTCACAAGGTAAAAAACTAAACAACACTTAATTACTTACTAAAAGTTAAAGTTGCATTAGCTGTGTTTTGCCACTTGGGGGCAACAAAATACAGTTATTAACATATCATTAAAATATTAGTCAATATATAACAACTTAAAATGTTTACTTTATTAGCTATCAAATCCCTTTTTAGAAGATAAACACACAGCTACATTAGCAACTATTTAGAGTTGTGTTTGTTTGGCCCCGAACTACATTTAATGATTATTTAAAAGAAAAAGTATTATAAAAAGCTTTAAGCTTAAATTAATATATATTATGAATTTTAGCTTTAAGCTCCATTTTGGCCTCCACCCCCCCCTGAGGGAATAATATCTCTCGACTTCGCTCATCAACTAGTCACTACATTTGTTTGTTGTTATGATGCAGTCTTTTTGTGCCGTAGACAAACAGCAACTAAAACATAGTTATTCAAGTGTGGGTGAGTCATAAACGAGCGGATACCTGAAAAGTTAAGTTAAGGTGAACACAGAAGTAAATGTGAGAGGTCAAAATGTCTGACAGGTATCATAAATAGAGTTGTATATGTGAGGGGGAAGTCTGAGGTTGCAGTCTGAGACACGGACACGGCACTAGGCTTCCAGTAATCCTCCAACAGGTGTCAAGTGTGATTGTGTCAATCTGCCGACTGCCAACCTCTTTATAATGGGTCACATTTGACCAATGCGTTACACAGAATAGGAACAGGAGGCTGACCTTGGATAAGCTTGCAGTGAACAAGACGCACTCGAACAATTCTCCCATCCTCTTGAGGAATTCGTCAACATGGGGTCTCTTTAACACATACACCTGGGGGAGGAACACAAAGGTATAAGAGAATACAAATCAAAAGTTGAGGCACATTTGAGGCGCATGATCAGGAACACAAACTACTCATTGGGAAAAATATAGAAGTATAGGAAATGGTCCTTGTACTTCTGAACAGATGTTCTGAAGACACATTTTGTCACATGGCAGGTTATCGAAACATGACAGAGAAATCTATCTTCCTGACCAAATGTAGGCTTTTTTATATTATATTTAATATATGTATAACAGTCTCCAAAAAAAAGAGATCGTATTGGTTGACATGGAATACTCTAAATTTGATGGTGTTACCCAGTGTGAGCATTCATTTCCTCTACGATAAACGGGATCATTTGGATGTTTTGAAGTGGGGTTACTTATACAAAGTACCATGAAAGTTGCAGATTTACCTTTGCATCAAGTGGTTAGTTTGTGTTATTGTGTGACTTCAAACAAACCAAATATCACACAATAACACGAAAAAAACCTTAAGTGGTTAAAATATTCGAAATAAAAGCCTTTTATAATGGGTTTCTGCTGCACTATACGATACTATACTCTGGTATTTCCGTTAAAATCGGGATGTGCTGACCATTATCTTCTCAAGGTAATACATACATGATTGATCAAATCTGCATAAAACCCCACTTCAAACTATTTAAAGGTTCCATTTAAATTTCTGTTTGTAATAATAATAATGCTACAGTGACTATAGGCACATTCACACCACAGTACTTTTCCCACAAAGGTTCATGAGAACTTAGTTCATGAGAACTCTTTAGTTCTCCTGAAGTACAGATCGCGTTCACACCGGAATAAGTCCCTGGGGGAGGATTAGGCAAATGAAGCCCCTGACGTTACTTCTTCTTCTTCTGCTTTGGGTTTACTGGCAGGCCGCAAACAACTTCACGGCGTATACTGCCACCCGAAGTCCCCGGCCGGAAGTCCCTGGAGTTGGGGACTGAAGCCTTCCGAGTAAATCGCCAGAACGCCGACACCTCCTCATCTCCACCGCTCCCATGTTTTCTTTTGTATTGCCATAAGTTAGCGTCTCTGCGTTTGTGCGCTGGGCTAATGCTAATAATGCTAATACGAAGATAATAAAATGGCGGCTTCACAAAACCTTTTTTGAGTTTTACGGGGCGTGGTTTGCAATCCGCCCAGCCAATCAGAAATAGGAACCTTTTTCTCCCACGAAAGTCCCTGCTCTCTAGCAAAGGGGGTAAAAAGGTTCTCATTAACTAATTTTAGTTCCGGCTCTTTTTGGTCTGAACGCGACATTTCGGAACTATATCGGAATTAAAGTGGGAAAAGTACTGAGGTGTGAAAGCGCCTATTAAATACATCCAAACTTAAAGCCGTCATATATTTAATCCAAGGACACTTCATGTAAACACCTTGGCAGGAATTTCTATTTACTTCCACTAAGACGCCGGCGGCCTTGTTTCTGAACCAAGTCATCCCGTATAGGCTTTCCCCACTTTAACAAGCCTATCCTGGATTACTTGAAACAGACCCAGGCCCTCTGGACCACAAAGCTTGTCTGTCTTCCTGGAAGCCGAGCACAACAGATCGCGGTTACCATCCAACGGCTGCTGGAGTTAGTCACTCCCATTCCCCAGTGCCAATGAGTAGGACATAATATGTGAGTGAGATTGATGGCCAGCAGTTTCTGAGAAGCCTGCCAAGGTTTCCTCATTTCGTCAGGCCACGTAAATAGCCACCTGCTGTTTGGAGCCATCAACAGGGCGGGCTGCATCACTGTCAGGGAGCTAGCAAGCAAACCATGGAAGATTTTGTAATTTTCCGCTTTTAGTGTTGAATTGAACAGTTCATAAAGAGTCTTGCTAATCAGGTCCGATCAGTGAAAAGCACATGTTTTGTTTAACTGTGTGTGTTATGTTGAGTAAAATGATGGGCAATGCATTTGAATTGGGATTGAAGCAACAGCACATGCTTACCTGGTGAACTGTTCCATCAATTTCCACTGGAATGATAAAATCAGCATTGTTCACTGGCTGTTGAAAGAAAAAGTAAACGTGTTGAACACACATCCAATCATATTTTTGTGATCTACCCAAAAATGATCAAACGTTCCCATTTGAGTTTTAGAAACAAATCTAAAGTGGGGGCGATATATCCAATAGACACAAAGGTGCCACCTCAGCATCTTCTAAATAACACAATACTGTAAATAATATGACTTTCATAGTTGAAATATGGCAGCAGCAGAAAGTGACAAGGGTAATAACATATCTGATTTATTTAGGCAGTTCTCACATGGGAAATATGCTTCTCAAATGTAAGTATCACCCCAAGCAGGTTCTATATAAGGCATTACACCATGGCCAACATTGGTATACTATGAGGTAATGCAAGTAAGACGGAATCGGTTTAACATCAATCATGAACAGAAAGTGTGAGTGTGCATTTAGGGTTTATCATCATTATTTTTAGAATCTTGACTTCCCAAAAATGTACTGTGCAGGGTGTGGTACACGGTGAATACAGGAACAGACAAACAAAAGAATAAAGAAATGTTTTCCCTAAACTATTGATTAAATTACTGATTTAACGTGTGTGAAAGGATTTATAAATATATACACTATATATATTTATCCTCTTTAAATGAGGGTAAATATGGAAGTGTCGATCTACGGATGGGTATATGAATTGGTGGTTGATGTCGAGTATTGAACATTCTATTTGATCCTAATACATTTGTCTTCCGTGTCTAAAATAAAATGGATTAGATATGATGAAATGCTTGATGCTGATCTCCCTCAATATCAACATATTCAGAAACACATAAATACAAAGTAATAATAATTGTATTAATATGCACAGTATGTTTTTGCAGTACCGTCAGTACAAATGCTCATCCAGTATTCAAAGCGGTTTAGTTCCGATTTGACCGGCCAACTCTGGCTCTCCTTGCTCCACTTGTAACCTGCAGCCCAGGTTCTCTATCTCCTTCTGTTCACAATGAGCAACAAAGTGTGTATAGTGGGCTGTACGACCACTATTTATTTGCCTGTTGTTCATTTTTTTCACGACTTCCACAATCATCTTCAGACAAATCCTTTAGATCTGGGTTTAACACAGTCAAATAAGATGATAGTACCATTGTGGAAAATGTAAATATTAAGCATTGGTATCATGTATTTCCTTAGAAAACAATATTTTACTGAGAGAAAAATACAATTTGGAGACGATAGATATGCTCTTCGGTATGGTGGGATGAAGTTGGTAGCTAATGAATATTAGCTTTGGGAGTAACAAAGGTATTTATATAATAGTATATATATATTATATATATATATATATACACATTTTTTTGTATTATATAATATATTACATTTCATGTTTTCCTTTGTCTCCTGTATAGTTATATCTTCAAATACTATAGTGCAAGAAATATAAATATTACATTTTCCTATCCTATGCATCTGTCCTATACTCGTCATTGATTTGAGCAATTAGGATCTTTCTTCTATTAACAAAGGTTCAGAACAAAAGCTAATACAAATCAATTATGTGTTCAAATGTCAAGCCGCTTGCTATTAGACTAGATCCTAATGAATACATTTTGGTTTTGCAATATTTTAACATTTTGATTTTTTATCATCATGATAAAATGCTCAAATTAGAAAAGATTTACAGTAGTGCAATGTACTGTATTTTTAGTATTTATTTTTGGGTTACATGTTTTACTTTTACAGTAGAAATAGAACATCTGGTAAAGTACTTGTATTGGATATGTGACTAACAGCTTGGTGTGGCTTCTTATAGAAAATGATTTATGTACTAAACCAAGCCAAAACGGGTAATCTTATTACTCTAGAAAGGTTTTAAAAAGTTGTCTAAAAGTGATATTAATACTTGAATACTCTGCGGTTGTACACCAATAAACTACATTTGTATATGTGTGTTTTATTTCATCCTGTTCTTCAATTAATATAATATTCAATATTCAATCGCATATTAAAAGCTTTAAAAAACGAGTTCACAGCACAATGGCTTTTCTCTGCCTTTCACCTACCGCCTACTTCAAAGCCGTGTTACCTAAGGCTATTTTTAGTATGTGTGTCAAAGTAAAAGTGAGTTTTATTATCCACCTTGTGTTAAACATGGAGTTCACAGAGTCTGACCCTGTTTACACAAGGTGGCAATATCCAGTGACCGCCTTTAGGACAGTCTGTGACCTGAGAAGGACTAAACACCACATGGCATACATTACATAATTTGTCGTGACACAGGAGCCTTGACTTCTGGCATTGACTACTTTGTTCACTAAATGCTACCTTAAAAGGTATCAAACTGATCAAAAGACAGCCGGTTATTTGTAGAAACAATGTTACATTTGATATTTCATAAGAAAGTATTTCACAGTATATTGATACGGAGAATAAATAAAGGTGTGTAGTGTACCATATTGCTGATCCTTTTTTTATTTACAGAATTCAGTTAAATTGCAGTTAACAGTTAAATATGAAACTTTGATTTTAATAACGTTTTTAACGTCTTACTTGGGTTTTAGGGTGCAGGTGGGTTTTGCTTCGTGAAACCAGAGCACCCATAAAATAAATGGTTAATCTTTAAGTGCCACATGAGCCAGGTCCTTTACGATAAAAATAAGTCATGGGCATCCTAAAAATATGCAACATGATGTAGTGCAAATCCTATAGCTATTTTTGCCTTGGCAAGTAGATTGTTTGTTTTAACAGTCAACATAGAAGCATAATAGCACATAGTGAATGAAAGGGTACTAGCTTTTTGATATGCTTGATGACCTTTCAGTAATTAAAGGCCACAATTAATTTAAAAAGAAGGTTATAGAAGTGCTTAAAACCAAATGAAACAAGTGGGAAAAGACTAGATGCTCACTAATTTAGATGGTCATTTAGATTTTGTTTGTTTGTTTTTTAATCTTAGTCCTGTGTCAAATGTCCGTTATGTGTTTTAACACATGAACTTAAGTTTAGTATTAGTTTACAAAAAGTAAAGGGGCATTTTAGTTTTATCTTAGTCAAAGAAAGTCATGACATAGTTTGATATAGTTTTCCTCAATGAAAACTGTTGACATATTTTCTTTAAATGTAATATGGACTAAAATATGACTTTGTTTCTTGTTTTCATTGCAAGCTTTTACTTAAAGGGGACCTATCACGCAAAATGCACTTTTGTACGTCTTTTATACATGAATATTTGTCCCCGGTGTGTCAGGGAACTCACCAAGTGTCAGAAAACACAACCCTCTCTCTTTTCCTCCATACCCAAATCTCTGAAAACGGGGCTGCAACGGATCTGATACAGACTGATACAGATTTGAAAATTCTCTGACGTCAGGAACGAGGAGCTCCGCCTATATGGGCAACTCTCCACCTATCAGGAGGAGACAGCCACGGCCATTGCCGTTCGAAAGCACTGGAGACGCTGTAGTACATATGCCAGGCCTGTAGGTGGCGCTGTAGTCTGGCACAAAAGCAGATTCAGCCCTTGCAAAAACAGGGCTAAAAAAGAGCAAAAGACATGGCTAAAATGCATGATCTGTTTGGTATTTTGAAAAAGAAAATTCGCAGACATGCTTTATATAGGTATGGCCCTACAATATATTATTCCTCTTTGCTTTAACATACTTTATAAGCTTCCACTGGCTTAGATTATAAAAACAAAACAAAAATAAGTTACCATAAATATGCAGACCTTAGATATATTATCACCTAAGAGTACAGGATTAAAGGACTTGTTTCTCAGCAAGATTTGGAAAAACTTAATGGTGCATTTATCTTTAGTAGAGATCGTCTTACTTAAAAATCCATCAGCAGACGTATTCATTAGCTGCTGTCCTTACTAAAACCAAGAAAGTGGATCATTCTATTTTAGATTGTTTTAATCTCTGGGCATTTGAATATATTTAAATGTAAATTCATAATGTTTTTTTTTTTGCCTTTTATCTTAATGCTTTTAATGTATTTTGTAAACACTTTGAATTGCCCTGATTCTGAAATGTGTCTTACCTTACCTTTAATTGTTTCTATTTATATAATTATTTATTTATTTTAATCAATTTGTCAAGTACTTTTTGGGAAGTAGCTGCTCTTATGTTTTCTTGTGTTACATGTTTGTCTTCCTTAAAGCTTAGATTTAAATAAGGAAGTAATACTTTCAAAAATCATGAGTTTAAAATATGACAGACAACATTGCATGACTCTAACCCGCCTCACACAGATCCCTGGGACACTAAGATGAAAATAAACGAGCTACACATATACCGCAGCTTTCTTCACTAAAGCTATCAAATATTTCAACAAACAAAAATCATACCATCTGAATACTTTATGGTGCTTTCACCACATAATATCCTACAAATAGTGGCACATATTATCTGCACGGACATGAAAATTACTGTTTCGGTTTTGGATCAGGTTATCTTTTAATTATGTCTTTAAATAAATCTCTTTGATTGTTTGAATATCTGTAAACAGAGCATTAATTATACATATGAGTAAGTGTATGACACAGGCCAACATACCTTAAATGAACTATGCACTAGTGTTTCATCCAAATCAATCACCACACAGATCTTCCCTGCATCATTCGATTCCATCCGTGGGAGTAGCGGTTGTGCTAGAACCTGAAGACCAGAAGAAAGTTTAGACCTAATGCTCAATGCTTAGCCTAAATAAAAATGTATTATAACTTTCAACCCTAGAATACAAGGAGCAACCTAAAAGTAGTGACACTAAATGTAAGACTTTACCATCCCAATTTCTCATGTAGAACTTACAGCTCATTGTGTGTTTCTTGACACTTAAGAGACTGATTTGTGTTGTGGTGTTTGTGTGAGGGGTTACAGGAAGCCTTGGATGCTACAGCTGCTGCCGCATTGATAGAGCATGTAAATATCATCACAGTGTGGCTCGTCCCTCAACATGTGGTCAGAGATCGGTGTTTGTTGATGCTAAAAACAAGCTGGCACAACTAAACAGGCTGCCTGTAACACTGATGCATGTGTTTTTCCTTGTAGAGGGAACGGCCAATTGAGGATAATGGAGTTTGACCCAGATACTTTGCTAAGCTAAGCTCTCCTATAACTTCCTCCCTGCTACAGTTGGTATTGCAGTCTTAATGATTCAAAAATAGACCTACATAATTAACAGACATATTTGGGATCACACAGCTCTCAGAACTCAACTTTATCCACTCCAACAATTCACAGCCTAAGTGCAAATAATTATTATACCTCCTCTATTGGTGGAATGCAGTGCTCGCATTCACAAGGCTCAGAGGATTCATCGTCACTCTGCTCCTCTTCTAAATCGGCGCTTTCTTCAGAGGCCTCATTTTCCTCCGTCCTTCTGACCTGTGTGTCATCCTGTTTCACAACTCGTGAAACACTGTGAATGAGATCTAAAGTAGGCTGGATTACTCTTGAAATGTCCCGGTATCCACAGTCATCACCTGATTCTGAGGATTGTTCATCTGATGTTTTTTCAACAACACAGCAGTTTGTTAAATCCTCCCTTAGTTCAATAACTTCAGTAATTACAAGTCCAGGGTTAACTCGTAACTCAGTCAAAAGAGCATCTCCTTCGATCCTTGAAGCATACCCAAGGATTTGATCGGACGATCTTCCGTCCATAATAAATCCATGTAGGGCTTGTTCAACAGATGTCTGTAGGCTATGAATCTGAAATGCGTAATAATCCTCAATATCAGACTCAAACATTTCTTCATTTTCCTCTTGATTTACAAGTGACCAATATGGTTCCATTTCTGAACATGCCATACATATTTCTTCAGGCTCTGTAACAATAGCTGTCTGTAAATGTCCACATTCCTTATTCTGAGCAACAGAGGCTTCATCTTCATAAGCATCACCTTCCACAGAGATGTCCTCTGAACATGGCGCACTCATATTATCCTCATTACCAGAGAACAGGCAGGCCTCAGTTTCATCGTTATTATAGAGATCCTCATCACACTCTTCTTCCTCATTGTTCTCTGCGTAAAGATCGTCAGCTTCCAATGAATTTTCTTCATTTTCATCCCCTGCTAAACTTGATTCTGATTCTACACTCCAGTATTCTTGTTGTTGCTCTGACCCTGAAGACACGTCATCTCTCTGACTTGCATCTATCTCAGAACTACCTTCATATTCTTGCCCGTCAGAAGCATCAAAACACGTATCAGTTTCCTGGACATGAATATCCTCATTGATTTCATTAGATCTGTATTTCTTGTTGACAAGTTTCTGTGCCTCGGATGTCACTATGCTGTCGTGCATATCTCCGCCATCAAAGCACGAGATGTAACGTTGTTTTTTGGCGAACCCGTGCCCGTAATAGTCACCACTGTCAAATAGATTGAAGTATTCCTCAATAACAATATCAGCAGTGGGTGTTTTCTTAATATCTTCATTAATTTCATTCATATTTATCTGATCCATTTCTTCATCATCTTCAAAGGATTCCCACTGTGTTTGCTCATCACTTCCTTCGTCTTCATCGTTTCTATCGTCTTCCTGAGGTTCTTTTTCGGATTCCTCAGATAAATCGGAGCATTGATTTGACGGAATGCTGTAATCTGGACAAGTCTTGAAGGATTTGGCTTCAATAGAAGAGCAATCTAAAGAATCATCTTCGGTGCCAAACTGATCAGTACACTGCATTGAGGAAGCATATTGTTGATTTGTTTCAGAGTAATCCGTCTCACACATTTCAGAGTCATCTGTGGACATGTCTAGTGCCTGCAGACAGTTGTCTTCAGTTAGCTGTTGAACCGCACAACATTCACTTGCAAAGCCAACATTTTCACAATCATCAAAATAAGCATGAACTGGTGTGTCAATGTCAGAGGAATTTGAATCCTCTGATAATGTGGAGGACTCATCATCAATAGTCTCCGTTTCATATTGCTCGTCGTCTTGTTTAGGTGGACATCTCTCCTCATCCTCATCATTTGCGCATTCATTGTTCTCACAAAGTTCCGTGCCAAAGTCCAATAAGTCTACGGAGTCAGAGATGTCGGGTGTCAAACCACCAGTCATTTCACATTTCTCAGAGTCCTCTGCTGATGTGCCTGTCTCAGAGTCAAAGCACTCACTCTGCTGATCTGAGGGCTCGTATTGTTGAAGGAACTCCAGGTGGTCTGTGCATTCAGGTGTGAAATCAGACATTTCACACTGCTCCAAACTGTCACAGTTCACTGCCAATGTATCTGGCTCAAAGTCAAAAGCCTCCAACTGTTGGTCAGAGGGTTTGCATTGCTGAAATAATTGGAGGTGTTCTGCACAGTGTTCACAGCAAGAAGTACACTTGGAAGCTAAGCTATGATTATCACAGTGCTCAGAGGACTTGAGAGGTTTAAAACACTCAAAGTCGTCAAATGATTGGCTTAACCCCGAAGTCTCACACTGATCAAGGACCTGGTGGGATTCAAAAAATCGGTCTGGGTATTGCTCAAATCCCTCAGAGTGTCCGTTGCAATAGGTTTCAGTCTCATCTCTGTCCGTGTTGCAATGTTCTAAGCAAAGGATAGAAGGGTCAATTTCTTTGCTGATAACAGTCTGCTCAGTATATTCCACAAGGACCTCCATGCCAAGTTCAGTACTTCCCTTTGGGGGGCTAGTTAAATCTGCAGCCTCTGTTAATTTTGGAACCTGGCATTGTTCCGCAATCATGGCCCGAGTAGACGGCTCCCCCTCCCCAGGGACCTTACTTTGATCGGAGTTTTCCAAATACATCAGGAAATGATTTCTCAATCTGAATTGTGTTAGTCCAACGGTTTTACTCCGTGCATTGGTTCCTGATCATGCCGTGTGTAAGTCCAAATGACTGGCAGGTAACTGGAGGGTCCATTCAGAGTGGATATTCACTGTGCTGGTGGGGGGAGTCACTGAGCCCTCAGCCCCCAGAGAGAGTAACAGCAACAGGAGCAGCATGCACGTTGATATGACAGCTTGTCACAACCAAAACTGAGCCTTGCACTTGACTCGACCCTCCCCTTTGCCAGAGACCAAGACATTTATTTTGGGGACTTGGAAAGACGTGACAAATAACTTCTGGAATATCAAATCTCTATAAAAGGCTGAACTAAGGCATTCATCTGACACCTGAAAACGCCTCGACCACTTGATCCGTAGACCATAACTTCCAAAAGTCATGCTGTTTTCCAAGAAGATCTTCAGTAAAACCACAGGGAGTATTGTCAATTGTCCAAAAATGAAACGTAATGTGAAAGTGGTCAATCCCGGATAGAGGCCCTCTAATCGTCTTAGCATATTTAAACATCCTAATGATTCACATGTGGCAAATTTAAACAAGTTTCAGTATGAAGAGTATTTCATATTGATGATAATTGATAGTCTCAACATGAATCCAGGAGGTAAAGAGACTCAAACTGACACACACAAGCTCTTCATCACACCTGATGATAAGTGTAATCTGCCTCGCTTGTGACACATCTACAGTAGATGTTTCATTGCTCATTGCTTTGCAGTGATCTTCCGGTCACATCTAATATTTACACTATTTCTTTCCGTCTTGTGTCGTCCAGTCATCTTGATGGATGTCTGAACATGGGGTGCTTTTCAACACTGCCACACTGCTTACCTGCCAAGAAAAGATGCACCTGTAAACAAGGAAAGCTTTGAGCCAAGAAAACATGTTTCATGCCAATCAAGCTGACCACATGCTGCTCAACAGCGTGAGAAAGTTGATATCAAGAGGAAGAAGGGGAGAGAGGAACTTACATTGTTTTGCAGCTCCAACTTTATTTGACAGAGGACAGTATAGAAAATGAGAGATAAGGGTTTGAAAGGTAACAAAAGTCCAGAGGAAATAAATGAATCTAAGCTGGGGGGTTAGAAGGAATCCAATTCCCCCCCGGAAAACTTACTTTTGACAGAGTCCCATTTTCTTCTACCAAGAGGGGGGCATTGTTTTTCTGTGGAGGTGGCTCAGATTCCTTGCGACATAGACAGCAGAAGAAACTGTTGAAAAGGCCTCTGCTGCGGGGCTTCTTTGAAGAGGAAGCTTCACTGGCACCTGGAACAAATTGACACAGAGAAGAAACATAATGAATGACGCTCATACTGACGTAGATGGATAGAGACCACTTAGATGGAAGTAGAACCAGTCAGCAACAGGTTATTTTGATTTTGATATTTTCAATAGAATTGTTCTTTATGCAGTAGTGATTCAGTTCCAGTGACATCTGGCCAGGACTCATTCCGGTTCATGATGTCAGTTTTTGGCAGTCATGCTGTTTCGGTATATCTGATCTGTGCATCGCTCTGCAGGGTCTGTCAGCAGGACCCCGTACTGTGCTCCGTCATGCTGTGTACGGCTGGACTATGGCTATTTCAGTTGTACAGCAAAAGGTTAAAAGACATTGCATAACAAAGTACAGGTGTACATTACATTCCCAGAAATAGTCAGCTGAAGACATCTTAGGCAAGTTTCCTTTTCCAGGGAATATTTTGCTGTTCGAATACCAGGAATGTGTTCAAGGGGAGGAAATGCGGGTGGATAGATTTGACCTGATAGTTATTACCAAGAAACCAGTATTCAGTATTAGTAGTATTCAGAAATCATTTCATTACCAAAATTAAGTAAGTTTTCTAAAATATTTGGTTTGAATAGGAAAAAATAAGCATGGTGTACTCCTACCTTTTGGGAATTTAGTAGAACTCTAGAGGTGTCAAAAAGAATAGAGAAATAAACTTAAATGTATGTTGGATGTTTTCTTCCCACTAGTTCAAAAGAATGTTAGGGAAGCAGAAGAATCGCTTTATTTCTCTACATAAATAAATGACGTTAATATTAAACACATCTAAACATAGGTAACATTTGTTATAAATATTTTGGTTCTTAACTGTATTGCTGGCTAAGCACCTTTTTTTGTGATCATGTTTCCGTTAATCTCACACAATGTTGTCTTCACTGGCAGAGCAATACTGTTTTAAAGAGGAACAGCAGATGATGTTTTCTTCAGTGATACACGGACCACACATGTGATGTTAGAGTTCTATTGGGTTACCTAAACACATGAAGACATTCTCTAAATGTGTCAAAACCACTGAAAATATTTTTTTTTCTCACATTATATTTAATCTTTAAGCACAGCCTTCTGTTTCTATATATTTTAGCAACAAAACAGTAGACCCATGAGCCTAAAGACTAATTATAGTATAGTAAAGTTGAGATATGTACACATATGAAAAACATTTAATATAAACATGGTTATTCAATTTTTAATCATGACTTTGAGAATTGATATAAGTGAGAAATGTTATGTGGTCTAATGTATTTTACTGAAAAGATATACAGTTATATTATATATATTATATAACGTATGACTGTAGCAGTTCAATAGCATTTAAACCATAGATATATAAAACCAATGGGTAAAGTGTTGTGCTGTTTTTCTCTTATTATACTAAATATAAATGCATAAACCTTTTAATAATCATGGATTAGACTTGAATTCTCCCCTTACTCCATTTGTTTACATTGTGCACTACAAACCGAATATATTAAAGTTTGAAATAAAAAAAGATGAATACTGAAGACACTGTGTTATGACTGTATTTGCATTAATCCACACTGACATCACAAACCGGTGTAACAACAGTTATCGTCTCACACATGTGGCGCATGTGCAAACACCTCATCAAGTGGTGTTAGAGTGATGAGAGAGTTTTCTAAAAAAGAAAATACTGACAAATTAGCCGAGAGTTGATGTGCAGTCGGAGCTGTCAGCTGAGGCATTAGCATGCCGCTCAGACAGAGTCTGTTCCTTCACTGTGAGCCACAGAATGGACCCGTCAGCTTGCTGCAAATGTGTAATGATTGTGAAATAGTACAGATGGGCAATGGACTGCTTGTGTTTCTGAACAACTTTTTCTAATGTGGTGATATTGGAAAACAGGAAGCATTGAAATTGATAATAAATTCCACTCTGAGATATGACCAGTGATGGAACGGTGCATTCTGTGGCTATTAGTCCTGACGGCAGGAAATGCTAGTTGTGGTGTTGTCATTGTCGCTGTATTGTATAATTATTTATTGGTTTTATTTTTATGTTTTTTGTTGTTGTTTTTTTTAATGTTTATTTTCATGGCTCTGTTGTTTAAGTTATCTTGATAAGCATTTTTTAGTTTTGCCTGTGTGGGTTATATTAATTTAATTGAGCAATTCTGGCTTTTTTTATCTGAACATAAACCTTACAGTATTATATACATTATACAAAAGTTAATAATAATAATAATTCAGGTTACAGGTGGCAAATTCACCTGAATACATAAAACATGGACAAAATGACTCAAAAGTCATTGAACAGTGTAAGAATCACACAAGAGAAAATGGCACAGCTACTTATAAACACTAAAACTGCTTTTAGAATAACCTTTGTAATCTTTGGATTCCAGCTTTATCCACAAACAGCTGACCCACTTTGAAGACTTTTCTTTTTGATTGAAAAGTTTGTTCACAACATGAATGTATTATGTTTAGTTTATCGTCTCTTTGGATAACGAAAACACTTCTCTTAAGTGGCTAAATAATAAATAATAAATGTATGATAAATAAATACTACTTAATTTAGCAACTCAGGCTTTTTTATACCAACATATAACTAATATGTTCTAAATAATGAACCTCATACTAATTAAGGTAACAGGTTTTCAACACACCTGAAGAATTGCATGAAAATACTATGGACAAAACAACACAAAAGAAAATGGCAATGCTAATTATAGATACTACGGAATACGACTAACGCCACATGTGAATCCGTTTCTGAGATCTGAGCAAAAGGCTGTTTCATTTTAGGTCAGAACTTTGAGAAAAAAGTCAGGGCTGACTTTAAACTCAGAATACTCACTTTTTCCTCCTTTTGACATTAATCTCAGAACTAAAAAAAGGTACGTTTGGGCAGATCTAAACAATTATTACCATGTGGCCCTATTCCTCTTCTGTAAAATACAAAGGCAGCTTTTATAGTAACCTTTGTATCCTTTCTATTTTAGCTTCACTCGAGAAAGCATTGACATTGTAAATCAATTCTGGCAGTCAAATATATTATTCTCATTATAACAACCCCCATAACAGTAAGAGTCAAATAACACATGAAATATGGAATAAATAACTCAATGGTCATTATACATTGACCAAAATCACACGAAAGAATATGCCACAGCTAAAAGAATCCTACTTTATGACCTTACCTTTCAAGCTAACAAGTGTGACCTACTTTCAAGAGTTTTTGGCAATTACTTTGGCCTGTTGACTGCTTCATTCATCGGTGCTGAAAGTGGATGCAGCCCCTGTAATGCTGTCAGTAAGGGCTGGACATGCTTGTTGAGAAATGCCTATCTTAGTCCCAAGAGTAAAGGTTTGTGTGTTAACATGTGTGAAGGAACTGGGCAGGTGAAGCTTGGAGTGTTAAAAAACATCAAGCTGCTCTGAGCATTAGCTCTTCTGATATTACACATCGCAGCGCCTGAAATAGCCCGGCAGATAACCCGCTGACAGCGGTTAATGACGATATTTTATGTGTACGTATATACTGCCGCATACTCACAGCAGGCAACAAACTGTATGTGTACACTGCAAAGAAATAAGAACTAAATTAAAGGGCTGTCACTTTATACTGTCCCTAAAGACCACAGCGCGCATGTATAGTGTCAAAGACAGCACATGGCTCCATCATAAGTAAAAGTCATTTTAACGTTTTTTTTTATGTACAATTCAATTTGTTTCTTGAATGCTAATAAAGATAGGCTAGATAATGATCTGATTAGGGCTGGGTGATATGAAGAAAATCTATTTTTTTTTTACTAAAAGTTTAATTTCATGCTAGCAGTTTTTCTTGCAGCTATTAGAGATAATATATTGTATCATTGATTGTGATTGTAAATAGGATACAAATTCTGGTTAACCCATTATGTAATTCAACACATGATATAAAAGCATTTCCGCCATCTGTGAGGCTGTACTGTGCCTAAAGAGTGGTACAGTAATGACACATTTTTGTAGGCAAGCCAGGAAGTTAGCATCGCAAGGGGAAAAAAAAATGGGGATTTTACAATTGGAATTGGCAGGAGTGAATAAAGAACGACGTTCACATAACTGAAAGTCACCACCGCTAAGCTAATGGCGGCTGATGTTTAGCTTGATAACATTTACTAGTCTCATTTAGTCACTTCTTAGCAAACGCCGTTTGC